TATGTACAATCAACACTCGCGATACGGAGACACAGCTAACGGATTCAGGTTGGTTGTCATGAGTCTGGCATCCTAGGTGAAGACCCTCGGCAGAAACCAAGCAACCTGATTCCAGTGATCGCGACGGTCTTAACCGGCATCAAGCCAGTTTTAGACATCTTTGGTACCGATTGGAACACCCCAGATGGAACAGCCGTTCGAGATTTTATCCATGTAGTGGATTTGGCTCGAGGCCACATTGCAGCTCTGGCAGCTTCGACAGCGGGGCGCATTAATGCGCCATTCAGAACTTACAATCTCGGTAAGTCAGGAATCTTTGGAGAAAAAAAAAGCGCAAGCCATTGCAAGGTCTCACACTGACTCCGAACAGGAACAGGGCGAGGACACACCGTTCGTGAAGTACTCCAAAGTTTGGAAGATGCATCTCAACGAAAGATTCCAGCCAGAGAAGTTGGCCGGAGGGCGGGAGACGTCGGCTTCTGCGTGGCGGAGGTGCGACGTGCAGAGACCGAGCTGCAGTGGAAGGCAGAGAGGTCACTGAATGACTGTTCTGGTGATGTGTGGAACTTCACCAAGGCTCGATGCCCAGAGTTGTAGTTCGATAGCCTTTCCGGCGGTCCTGAACCTGTTTTCTCCAACGCTCATTTCCTGCATTTTCCAGCATCGGCGGCATTCCATCAAAATAGATATCATTTCAATCCAATACCCAATTTCCTCAACTGATCGACCAATGCAGATGCGACGATCTTGTATGAGGACGCTCGACGAATCAGTGTTCTTACGCGCCAGCACCGAGGTTTCCACGACATGATCTATCGGGCTCGAGCGCGAAGTCCAAAAGACGGAAATCTTCTGACGCGACATGCTTCCATGCTCTTGTTCGTTGCGGCCATGAATCGCCACGAGGCTAACATTGTTCAGGAAGTTGCAGCCACGTCCAGGAAGTGATAAAACCAGTATCGAGCGTTAACAAGCTCTAGAAGCTTCGAGCAGGTCCGCCTCCTTTCATATCCATCCAGCGTTTAGAAAACCTTCTTCTGACCAATCCAAGCTGCGCTTGAATTGCTTTTCCTCGTCGTGTGGGTGGGCACCTTACTGGTATCAGATAAGGCAAAGTCAGCATAGCGAGCCAAGGCGACCTTGCATCGAGGCGACATGCTAGACCGAGGCGAAATCCTAGAGGCAACACTCGGTTGCTACAACGCTGCCCGCACTGCGTGCGAATCACATTTCGTCGACTAAAAAGAACGCCCAATCGCATCAGACAGATCATGTGGCAAGCCCGCTACTTCAGCTGGGTCGCTACACTCAACCCTTTCCGCCGAACTGTGCGCAACAACCACTAACCCCGCGATAAACTGCCAGAGCGAAGAGCGGACTGTGAACTAGCAACGCGGCGGTGATGGGAATGCGCCCAAAAACGGCCCAGGAATCGACGACGGCATCTCCGTGTAGGCACTTTGCGGGACCCGATTCGCCAATCCCGCGTTTCAAACCCGGTGGGCTTGCGTTGAATCGTACAAGCGAAGTACAGGCGACGGCAAGATCCAACGGTGCGTCAAAGGCGACGGGGTTGTCCGGGCCCATGTTCGACGGTGCGATGATGAGGTTGCACAATACATGTTGTCCTAAGCTGAAGAGCTGAATGAGGGCGGTCGCAGAGGGGCCGAAAAGGGAGGCTGAGGCTCTCCTTGCCTTGCATCTTGCGTTGGGCGGACACGACCGATTGGATGGCAGACGGGTTCGACAGTCGGAAGCTTTTTGGCGAGCGATTCAGCGCTAAGCCAAGGGCATCACGTGCCTTTGTCAACAGTCTAGCAGCCCGCACCCGTTAGGAACCTCAACGTCTCTACCTTACGCACAGTCGCAAAGCCACACCAACCTGGATACCGTGGACGCTTAAAACGTTGCGATTAGAACAGGTGTCAATTCAGATGCCCCCTTCCGCAATGGCGATGCCTGGTCAGCACATGACGGGCAGCGCTCCTTCCAACATCTCGGCTGGCGTAGATCCCGCTTTCTGGGGTGGTGGCCACCAGGACTTCCACTCGCAATCGGACTCCACATCGCCATTGTCGCCCTCGCTAGGGCTCCATCTGTCGCCGACAGCAAGCATTACCACCCAGAGCAGCATCAATGGAAGTACCCCGCCGGCGCAAACTCCGCAATCCGACGGCGGCAGCAAAGGAACGGGCGGGAAGACCAGTCAGAAGCAGTCGCCTAACGACCAAACCAGAGCATCGGTCGCTGTCGCATGCGTCCCGTGTCGCAGCAGACATTTGAAATGCGACGGTGGTGTCCGATGTTCCCGATGTAGGACCGACAATGTGGAATGCACCTACATCAAGTCGCGAAGAGGCTGGAAAGGAAAGCGAAAAACCAAGGAAGATAGCGCGACAACGACGACGACGACGACAACAACAACGACTCCAAATGGTGGGTAATCGCGATGATCAAATTGACATGTCTAACACGGTCAGGTGAAGTTCCAGTGACCAGTGGCCACATCTCCTCGCCAGAGTATTCCTACAATGGCGATGCTGGCTTGAACCAGCTCAGCCCAACTCATGGCCTTGGCGTCCGACCTGTGGCCCCACCAGTTGCTCAACTCAACCTAAATGGAACCGCACGTCTGAACCGCTTTGGTCATTTGGGACCAGAGACTGCTATTCAGGCATTCTACCACTTCTTCTACAACTCACATCCCTTTTGTCTCCCCAAACCCAGGTTGGTGGAAATCTTCAAGGAACGCCATGCCCCACTTTTGGAATACGCTGTCCAGTTCATCGGGTCCAGTTTCATACCATCCGTGCCCACGGCCATGTATAAAGAAGCTTTGGATCAGCAGATCGACAGCAACAACTACCCGAGGGACGCGTGGTCGGTACAAGCACTACTGCTCTTTGCCATTGGTCTCCACGCTCACAACGAGGTCCCACGCTCAGCACAAATCTTCAGCATCGCTCAAAATCTGACGCTGGAGATTGGCCTCAACCGGATGGAGTTTGCGCTTGTGCATGGAGAAAACGACCCTCAGTTGGAAGAGAGCTGGCGGAGAACATGGTGGTCCATGTTCACAGCCAACGGCATGATGACAGCAGTCAATCCAGGCGTGCAGTTCAGACTGAAGGACGTAGTAACCGACGTCCCGTTGCCATGCGAGCAAGACCAGTATCTCTCAGGTGTAAGTCCCTCAAACCCCTGTTATCACACTCTGACATGTGTCAAATCGGCTTGGCAATGTTTCCTTCCTTAGTGCGATCGTATACCCTTGCCGCTCCAGATGAGATCGTCTGACTTGCATGTCACACTTGATAGAGTTATGACTTGCATGTCAAACCTTATCTACCCCGCGGAGTGCATAGTTGACCCCAAGGAGAGAAAGAAGGAAAAGAAGAAACAAGAGAAGACTAACACGTTCGCGCAGCAAATCCCTTATCCCCCAACCCTCCAAGACTACGACGACTCGTCTTTTCTCGCCCACGCCTTCACCTTCTCCTCCTTCACCTACTTGATCGACGCCATCCGCATCTTGGGGAAAGTCTTCGAAACCGCTCGTCTCGACAGCACCTTTGAGTACCACGCCGTCGACGTCGTAGATCAATACCTTTGTAACTGGCGTCTCCACTTACCCGCTTCGAAGATGGAGCTCGTATCAAACGACGGCCACATCGACGAGGTCCTCTTCCAAGCGCACATGGTAAATGCCGGCAGCACAATCATGCTGCATCGGCCGCGCAGCAATCTGGGCTTTGGACGCGTCGAAGGCGTGAATATATGCGTGCAGCCAGGCCAAGTCTTGCTGCCGACGCAGACGAGAGAGATTCACACGGCAAAGTGCCTGACGTCTGCTGAGAACATTTCGGCCTTGATTCGTCTGCCCGGGAACCTGATAAAGCATACTCCCCTTTTCACTTGCGTCGTGGTAATGGCGAGCGTCGTCCATCTTTCTTACTGGTCTTTCCTCGTTCCAGACGGCCAGGACGACATCATTAAACAATCCATACGCCTCGATGTTGGCACCCTGCAACAGTATAGCAATACGTGGCCGATTGCTAATGTGGTGCTCGGACAGGTGAGGGGCGTGGCACATACGTTGTTCAATAGTAAAAAGGCCATGTCAATACATTTGTGGAGTAATTTACACCAAGGGGATGTCATCAGAGGGGTTATCGAGGAAGGACGCGAGGTCCCGACGCAGCAGTATGCGCAGTTGATTGCGCCGTGAGTATTTCCCTTTCTTTCTTTCTTCTTCTGGCATCTCCGAGTGCTTGAATCATATGCTGACCTTTTCTTCTCTAGGATGTTGAAGTCGTAGACACTGACTTGTCTTGCTTGCTTTTGTTGTTCAATCTTGGTTTAGTTCGTCTCGTTCTCGCGCCGATATCATTTGTTGTTTTGATGTTCTGTTGCGTCGTCAAAACACATGCGCCTTTCAAGTACAGCGAGCGAATCTTGTCATTTAATCTGTCGATGATTCTCTATCGCTGCGATGTCTTGCAGGCGCTTTCATGTCCGCTTCCATGCGACCCTCTTTATCTGTATCATGAGCACATCGGATATTATATTGTCGTATCTTTTATTCGGGATCAGGTGGCGCATTCACGAAATCCCCTAGCAGCGAGCCAGCGTTGTTGGAACAATGCGGTGGTGTTGGAAAAGGACCTAACGAGGACATGAAGCATGCTGTTGTCGTAGTAGTAGTAGTAGTAGTGATAGTTGCGCCATTGTGCGTGTTAATAGTAGAATCGAAAAGCCTTCCTAATCGTCAATCGTGTCTTGAGTCATTCATGCAGAACGTCTAGTTGTTCATTCGTCGAAGCGCCGGCTAGTCCAGCGCTTCATGTCGGATACCTCCGCAATTCCTCCTCGTTATGCCCAATTTTCACTAAAGATGCCCTCGGTCGCATATCCGTTTCCCATTCCAACTAAATCTCATCCCATGTCGTATACCCATTAGAGCCCTAGCCGTGGCCTAGAGCAGCGCTCATGACCGTTATCTACAAATCGGCGTCGTCCTCATCGGGCAGAGGCAAGGCAGAGGCGGCCTCCATCTCCTGTCGGTACTGGTCGAGAACGGCCTGGTCGACCTGGACCTCGGGAGGCGCAAGAGCAGGGGCGGCGACAAAGTCGAGAGACTGGTTGCCGACGAGTTTCCTGGCGAGCCAGAGGAAGGGCTTCTCGAAGTTGTAGTTGGACTTGGCGGAGATGTCGTAGTACTGGAGGTTCTTCTTTCGGTGGAAGGTGATGGACTTTGCCTTTACCTTGCGCTCTTTGACGTCGACCTTGTTACCGGTGAGGACGATGGGGATGTTCTCGCAGACACGGACCAGGTCGCCTGAAGAAAATTAGTCTTGTAGTAAATCATAAGAGTGAGGGAGACGTACGGTGCCAGTTGGGGACGTTCTTGTATGTGATACGCGAGGTAACGTCGAACATGATGATACCGCACTGGCCGTTGATGTAGTATCCATCGCGGAGACCACCAAACTTCTCCTGACCAGCGGTGTCCCACACGTCGAACTGGATGGGTCCGAGGTTCTGTTATCTGGTTAGTACCGTATCGCGCGATGTGACGAGGATCGGGTAACATACGGTGGTGAAGCCGAGAGGGTGGACCTCTACTCCGAGCGTCGCAATGTACTTCTTCTCAAACTCTCCAGTCAAATGGCGCTTGACGAAGGTGGTCTGTAGTGGGGCTGTTAGCAATCTTCTGCCACGGTTTGCGCAGCCTTGAATCGCGCAGCCGTCTTGAGTCTCTCTATTGAGACGGCTGCGCGAGTGACTGCAACAAGCATCGTACCTTTCCAGTACCACCATCACCGACAAGCACGAGCTTGAAGGTTGGGACTGAGCCTTGTGCGGCAGTCTCGGCCATGTTGTCGAGTGTTGTGGCGGGGTGATGTGTGTGAGTGAGGGGGGTTGGTGGGCAGAAGCTGAGCAGAAAAGATGTTAGTCGAGGTCGCCTGTTTTTATTGAGCAAAAGGCGGTGGTGCAGACTTACAGGTGATAAAGAGTGGGGAAAGTTGCGGGCGTGAAGTGGGCAAGAAGAGGTTTTGTTGTGCTCAAGTGTTGGCGCCCGGGCGGTGTAAATCTCTTGGCGCCTTCCGCAATTTTGACCTCACAGCCAGGCAGGTTAGGCAGGTTAGGCAGGTTAGGCTACAGCAGTCATCACACACCACAATCACAGACATTTGTTCCTGTACATTGCCTTGTTCCTCATGCATTGCCATCAAGCAACTTTGACAAGTCTTTGACAAGTGTTTGAAATGTTCCTTTGTCTCGAGCAATTAACGCCGGGTATCATGCTATGCTTTGTCGCTATGCTTGTTGGCCAAACCCAGTGCGCCACCCAGCGCATCCATCTGCTCGCCCACCCTACATGGGCAGCAGATGGCAGCCCAATAGCCCTCTTCCGCCCCAGTTCCTCCGTGGTGTGAGTTGCATCTGGACTGTCTCTGCCGGGCCGCCCGACGGGTTGGGTCGCAGCGCCTTGACGGTAATGGGAATCTGTAAGCTGTAAGCCTCGTGCACGCAATGCTGTAGGTATCCCGTGTATTGTCGACGCACCCCTTCGTTCTGCGATACTGCCTCTGCCACGCGCGACAGCCTCTCGTGGTTTGTCCAGTCCACCCAGCCAAACTTGGTTATCGTGTCGCCCACCTGCAGGCCCGCTGTGGCTGCCGGGCTGTCTGCCACGACGCTGTTGACCTTTGCGAAAGGCGCCTCGATGGCGGCGGGCGGGGCGCTGAGCTCTGTCTGGGCTCCGTTGGTCGTCGCAGAAGCACTCGCCTGCTCCTGTAGTCGGGCGTGGTGCTCGTGGAGACCTTTCTCGATGCGCGACATGAGGTCCTTGTAGTCATTCTTGAGCCGGATGATGCGCGCGCGCGTCGTTCGTACTGCGACGGTCAGCGACCTGTGGCATGACGCAGGCTCCTGCAGCGCTCACTCTGAGGGACGTCGATGTCACTGCGAGGGAAGCCGTCAAGAGTCGTTAGGCCGGTGCTCATGCGCACGCCATGCTACAACAAGATGTTAATTGCTTATCTTGCCTACAGCCCCGACTTGCGTACCGAATCCAGCACCTGCCCTAATGCCTTCAACTCTGCCTCTACTCGGTCCTTTTCCGCCATGAGCTCCTGGAGCGTCAGCTGCTCTTTCGGAACGCCATTCGAGTAGCCTGATGACGTAGGCCCCGAAGAGACAGTCGGTGCGTGTATGTCATCCATCATGTAGACGCTGTGAGAATGAGGCCGCAAGATTGTTGAACTGCTTACCACAGCTTGCCCAGCTGAGCTTGGTGTGGGGGAGGGGAGCTCGAGCTGGCTCAGAGTGGCCAATGGTGCGGGGCAAGACTAACGGAACAGTTGGCGTTGCTTCTTTCACCTCTTTTACTTCTCTACCAAACTTCGGTAATCGTCAAGCCCCGCGCGTGACATGCGCGCATCGCGAATAGCATCGCAAGACACATGCATTCGATTCAGCTGCCTCGCTACCATCATCGACATGGCCAAAGCGGAGTCGTTCTACTGTCGCTCTTGCCGTCACAGTGAGTCGCGACTACCAAAATATGCAGAACACAATGCGGCCACCATGCTAGCTGCACTGAGACCATGGCTCACCACTCGCCCCTAACGAAACTCCGTCCATGGCTCCCGATCGTCTGCGCTTTACGATGCGCCGTCTGGACCCTTTCCCTCCAAATGCCGCCATCACGTCCTGGAGAATTTGCGCCGCTGTGCACTTTCCCCCAGACCTCTTTCGGCCTGCGTACCCAGTAGTCGTATCCAACATGCTCCGTCCAGCTTCCTTGTCGCTCTGCATCTCACAAGTCTCTCCTTAAGCCATCGTCGTTGGATGCAGTAGTATTTATCTCATGCCGCAACAAGCCTTCGTACACGTCCTATCATAGCGTCGACTACTCGACCTGCACTGACATGGCATATGTATTGTCGCTTCGGCCTCAGAGCCCACTCAAGCGTTCCCTCAGTGACAGCCCATACCTGAATTTCTGCTCTCCCCAGAAAGACACGTTGCTTGCGCCACTGAGCGACATCACCGTTCGCAACGGCTCCGCATGCTCATTGTATTCCCTTGGTGTGACTAGAGCCGACTGGTCTCCAAGTAACGAGAACACACCGCCCCTCACCTCTCAGTCGCTGCTGGGTCTTGTGCCTGAGAAACCCGGCTTCCCTTTCAACACCAGACATGTCGTCGAAGAGCCACGCAAGCGGAATTGTGGGCCTGATCGACCACCGCCGTCTTTCTCACGACTGACAGCCCTTCCGAAGCCAATCCCGAGAGGGTACCATAAGTCGCAGCAGGTGGTGGACTCGTCTTCGGACGACCAAGACTCGGCTGAAGACATGGAAACTGATGATAACAACTTTGATGATACACGCCTGTTCAACCTCTACGAAGCCATCCATGCACCATTACCAGAAGGTCGCTTTACCGACGACGATGGAAACGAGCCATACGAAGAGTACGAAGAAGAACCTGTTGCGATTACTATTTCCTCGCAACCCTTCCGGCGGTGGATGAGTACTCTAAAACGTCGGCATGCTCAGCGATGGAAAGAAAACTTCTCCGACTTACCGCGGCCATCTTTTGAGCCTACAGACGGCTCCTCTGTCCTTTCTCGACCGCTAAGGAGACATTCTGAGTCGGCACGTCAAACGTCAGAGTCTATGACGTCTTCAATGGGTTACGTGACAGCAATGAAGTCGGCTTCGATGACCACTGCTAGCAAGAGCCTCGCGCCTCGCTCGGAGGTGGGCAAGGTTCGCTTGGGCAACAGAAGCGGCAACTACTCCGAAGTACGTAGATCACTTGAAAGCCATCGCGGGGCATTGGGACCTGTGCTTGATGAAAACGCATGGCTTCGATCATTGCAGCGTCGCAAGGTTGTTGAAGAACTAATATCATCGGAGGAAAGCTACATCGCGGACCTCAAGGTTTTGATCAACGTATGTTACCCGAACAAGCCACTCTGGTCAACTACTGACTTTTTAGGACTATTTCATGATCCTTACTGCCCTTCCTACTCTATCGGGTCAGACACGATCATCCATACAACAGAACATTTCTCAGATCTTACAGCTCCACGAAGACTTGCTCGCCGAACTCCACCATGTTGTTCCTCAGGCAGATTTCACAAAAAGCGCGTATCAAGAGATGTATCCCGTGACGAAAGCCAAACACATACGATTCCATAGCGCAGACATCGTCCCAGGGCGCTTTGCCGAGCACAAAACGGCCAGAAGGCTCAGGCATTCTTTAGAGATTGGGCGGTCACCAGATCGCAGACCCCGAGGCCTAGTGACCGACACGCAGACGGCAGGGAACATCGCCAAGGTCTTCAATAAACATGTACGTATGTTCGATGCTGCAATATCCGCTGCTGACGCGTTCTAGATGAAACGCTTCTTCACATACGAGGAGTATGGTGCGCATTGGACGACAATGTCTCAAGACCTTACCACCATGTGCAAAGGACTACACGGCTGGCAAGAGTACGAGCGAGGTGTCGAAGCGCTGCAGAAGGTAGTTACATCAGAAAATAATCGAGAAGCGGGTAGCAAGAAGGCGCTCAGTTTTTCCGATCTCTTGATCAAGCCGATCCAGCGAGTCTGTAAGTACCCCTTGCTGTTTGACGACTTATGCCGCCACACGCCCGTATATGACGACCCTGAAGCGCACGCCGAACTTGAGAAAGCTCTCTTCCGTCTACAAGAGACTATCCGCGAAGTCAACAAAGCCAAAGACGACCCTCAGACCCGGCGCCTCATTGAAATCACTTGGCAGCTACAAGACCGATTAGCTTTCTCGGATCACAAGATATCTCGAGCTCTCGTCTTCCGCTTTCTTGGACACGTTCTCCTTTGTGGCGCTCTGCATGTCACCTATCAGACACCTGATCGTATCAAAGGCTCATACCTGGTATGCGTCCTGTACAAGTCTTGTCTGGTACTTGCAACGGCAAGTCGGTTCCATACACCTTACACCGTCGTCGCTTCGATTGGACTCGCCAATGCCACCATCGAGGAGTCTGATAATGGCCGGGGTATCCAGTGCCACACCGCTCCATATACATGGAAATTCGTCTTCGAACACGGCCACCGCCTGCACGAACTCATCTTCAGCGCCTGCACCTCCCAGGAAGAAGAAGTGTGGAAGAAGCAGCTACGCGAGCGTATTGTCTACGAGACACACGATTTCGTCGAAGGCCAATCTAACATGCAAGACATGTACACCTCTCTGTCGTTAGGACTCAAGTCTCTCGGCCCTGTTTTCGGCCACGCAAACACTCTCGTGCGACGCATGTCCGTCCACCGAGCAGCGACTCTAGGAGCAAAAACAAACATGAGCCAAGTCATCATCAAGAACACTCAGGCGCAGAAGTTACCAGACACACCTCCTACTTTCTCACCCAGCATAGTAACACGATCGCAATCTCACCTCTCCTCAAACCACATCCCCACATTAGCTCCCCGCCGAGCCGAGCGCGTCCGTCTAGAAGGGGTACTAGAAGATGTATGGACGAAAGACATGCTGCCCTTCCCTGGCATGTCGAACAGGCGGATGGAAACCCAGATTCGCGCTTCCGCCAACTCCGTCATGCGCAAACTGAGTATGGCAAGCATCGCCAGCAATTTCTCGCGGAGATCTCCTAGCCTATCTAACACAAGTAACACGCGCTCTGAAGATTCCTTTGGCAGTCGCATGCACAAGATGTCAAATGGGAATCTGCGCGCGCAATCTGTGGCGACGGACAGACGGCCTGCTGTTGTACTGCCGCCTGTGGTGGATTTTCACAGCGCACCTGCGGCGTTTTTGCCTGAGGATTTTGAGGTCAGGGATTCGAGGCCGGGGAGT